AGCAGGGACAAGAGCGACAAGACTTGAGACAGGAACAGGCGGGTCAGTAACGAGGGAGGCAAGGACTCGAGAAACAAGAGGACGAGCGCCACGAAGGTAGTCAGACAGAGGGGAGGCGCGACAACGAGCGACGACGGAGGAGGCAAAGGCACGAAAGGAGGACGAGACGAGTGAGAATGAATCAGCATTGGGTGAGAGCGCTGAACAGGAGAGACAGGACGAGCATGAGAGGGACTGTGTGACCAAACGTGAGACGGAGACGTCTATTCAGGGGATAGAGGAGGAGTTTCAAGAAGGGAACGAGGAGAAAGACGAGCTGGAGACGAGTCTGGCGGAGGGAACACAGGGCCATAGACAGGAGGGGCCGGGGAAGGCACAGATGAGCGGCCAGGGGAAGGAAGGCCGTGCAGGCGAAGGGTGTACACTGGCAGCGACTGCGGCTGCAGCTGCTCAACGCTGACACGTGGACCGCCAGCTGCACCATGACTAGCATCAAAACACTCCACTCCAACACCCTCAGAATGAGCAACCCCAGAGCAAGAACTCTCTCCAGCACCGGTGCCACCCCCAGGCCCATCGGGACAAGCCACGACAAGAACCCCAGGACTAGCAACCTCCTCAAAGCAAGCACCCCCAGAGTCCACGGACGGCTGCTGCTGGTGCGGCAGTGGCAGCTGCTGCGGCGGCGTCAGCTGCTGTTGCTGCGGCTGCGACGACGGCTACGGCGGCTGTTGCAGTGGCTGCTGCGGCGGCGACTGCGACGGCGGAGGAGGGAGACACCGAAGGAGAGGTAGGCTGCAAGAACTACGCTGCGGGGCCACCAGAGTCAGCCGACTCCTCGATCGGGACAGCCGACGGGAGTGACGTGAGACACACGAGATGGAGCAGGACGGGGAGGGAGGGGAGCAGGTGCTACCGGGGGAGTGGGAACCAAAAACAAGGGAGGGGAAACCGGGAGACCTTGGTGGGGAAAGTGGTTGTAAAAGGAGACAAACTCATCGAAAATGGCGTCACGAGAGTGAAAGAAGCGGTGAGACGCTGGGTGGTAAAAGCGCCAGTTAGACGAATCGATGGGGAAACCAAGGAAGGCATAGGGGACAGTGCGGGCAGTGAGCTTGTCCATGCCAGAAGCACGAATGTGAGCGAGGCAGCCCCAGACGTGGATTAGAACGTCAGCCACGTCGGCCTTCCGCTCCAGGGGAAACACCATGGTGTAGCGTGTGTAGTCGTCGACGAGCATGAGAAAGTAGCGCTTGCGACGTGGTCCGGGGACGGGTGCTGGGCCCCAGACGTCCAGGTGCAGGGTCTGGAGGGGTGCTGTGGCAGGGCAAAGCGAGGAGGAGTGAGGAGCACGGCGCAGTCGGCCCTCGACGCAGGGAGTGCACGGCGGCGCAGGCAAGGGAGGGAGGGCCAGAAGCGATGCAGGGAGACCTAGGACGAGACCGTGCTGGGACATGTGACGTATGCGCGGGAGTGCGAGGTGACCTAGGCGGTGGTGCCACAGAAGCGACGGGTGAGTGAGCGACCGACACGAGCACGCAGTGGCGACCTGGGTAGACGCAGGACCCAAGAAGTACGCCCCACTCGGGGGGGAAGCAATGTCTGGCCTAAAGAGGCCAGACACCGTGTCCCGGGGGAACGTCGCAAGGGGGGGACCTAAGGCGGCCTCAGTATAGATGGCGTACCGCTCGTGACCAGGGAACGTAGTGGTGTCGCCAAGGTCCTGAAGACAGCCGACACCAACTAAGTTCCGAAAGAACGAGGGGATGTGCAGGTCTGTAAGGGAACCCAAGGGGACTGCTGGGCACTAGGGGCCGGCGGGTATGCTAGGGTCCAGCTGGGCGCTAGGGGCCGGCGGGTATGCTAGGGGCTAGCTAGGCACGTGGGGCTGGCTAGGTGCGAGGTGCCGGCGGAGTACACGAGAGGCCGGCGCGGCGCTGAAGGGGCAACGGGCACGCTAGGGGCCGACAAGGTGCGCGAGGGGCCGCGGTACGTTAGGGACAGGCGGGCGCGCTAGGGGCCGGCATGGCGGTAGGCTAGGGCGAGGGGCGGAAGCGGGTGGGCGGACCTAGGCTACTCATGATACCATGTTAGAATACGAGAATGACTAGAACATGTGAGAACAAGGGAGATATAGGGTTGGAGTTGTACCCTCGAAGAACACACACCAATCTAGCCTATAACTTCTACATACAAATATATGTGTTTAAGTTGACACACGCAGCTACATTCTTAAGTTGTATATTCTATTCAGAAATAATAAAAAGTCTCATACTTTTCATATGGTCGTCCAATTTGTCATCGTGTTCAACGCTGCTCCTTTTGGCAATATATAAAGGAAGGCCATGGCAGTTTGTCTTGCTTTTGTTTCATATCACCGAGCTTTTGGGTGTTTGCCTTCCTTGTCCCGCTCTGATTATTCATAGCCAAAGCGTATCATCACTCTATCATTTATACCCCAGGCATATTACTGTGTTGTTTATACGTCTTCCAGTATTCTACTAATAATGTGCATCGTAGGTACACTATTAGAGGTCTTGAAGTCCTGTTGAAATGGCTTCACTATACTTCATGTGCAGTAGTGGCGCATCTCGACCACATGATTGGCCACAAAGTTGTTGTTCCGTCACTGCTATCGACAGTGGAGCATGGCTCACACCCATTGGTATGATCGTGTATGATAGTGTATTATGGTTTAAACAGTGTATCATTTAGGATTGTCACACCACGATAGATCACTCTAGACATTTTCTCTGTGTTTTTAATGCTTCCTCATTTCGTTCACTCTGAATCGTCCATATATTAGTTACACGTTATATTTGCACATGTTTTTCTAACATTCTTTTTAAATTACTCTTTGTCTCTCCAACCCTCATCGTTCCAGATGGAACTGAACATGCTGCATTTCTCTTCTCTTAGCGACCCAGAGCGAGCAATTTGCGTCGTTCAAGATCAGAGTGGCAAGTTTGGTTTGACTGCTCTGGGAACAACGGCAGTTGAGTTGCGGAACATGGTGCGACGGCACGAGCTTAGAGAGGGTCTTCACATGCATCACATACACATTTTTGTGTGGATCACAGGACTTTGGATACCGAACCATCAAATTGTTACGACAAAGAGGTACATACCATTTACCTAAAATTTGAACTCCAAGAGCTCTTTTTTAAGTTGTTTTTAGCACCATTTGAATCTTTGTTATTCGTTACACTCAAACAAAAAACACATTCGTGCATCTTTCATTCATCACATATTCATGCATTCTAATTGCTT